CGTGCCGACCGTCCGGCGAATTCATCCGACCAAACTGACCTAACTGAACATGTTATGACCTGAAATGATCATTAAGCTGAATTTAACATGAATTTACTGAATTGGTTAATCAGACTTAATACTCGGCCGTGGCACTCGCTACGTGCGAGGCCTACGGCCTTTGGCCACAACTTGAACAATCTCAACAATCCTTCGACCAACATGAACTGAATAACTATAAATTGACATAACATGACCTTTTAATTACAAACTGGTCGGGACAATTTGACCATATTGAAAGATAGGGCTATCAAGCCTTCTATGGCCCCGCGGACATGCGCTAGGTGCACAGCCCGCGCCCTTGAGCCAGAACATGAATATAACGCCAACTTATACCGACCGATCCTGCTTAACTGAACCTTAAACATCAAATAAGAGCTAAAGGAAACAGAATTGCTCATGACTTATACTCAACTCATAAGATCATGCCTCATGGCCGCCCGTAGCTACGTGTGATCGGCACTAGCGACGGCTTTGGCCAATTCACCGGCAATCCTCGACTTTACTCAGCAAGTTGCTCATTTTAAACATCAATTAGCCTAAACTGAACATTTTAGGCATCAATAGCTCAAAAGTTGCCGGGAAAAATTAAGAGTTCTTTGGTCATGAACTTACTTAGGTACAATCGAATTTAGGTACGGTTTTAAGCATGCTTTACTCGAATTTCCCGAACAATTCACTCTTAACTCAGCTTACTAACATGACCATGAACTAAAGGGGAATTTACCTTGCTGATCGCTCGACGGAACTCGGAAATAGGGCGTGCTTATGGCCTTGAACTCGCCGTGCGCTGGTGCTTAATTTGGTCGTGCAATTGCGATGGAAATTGGGAGAATTTGCTGAATTTAGAGTGCTGAGTATAGAGGGATATGTTGCTGAATATAGGATCGGTTCATAAGGGAAAAGTGACGAAAATTTTTCCCAAGTAAGTCCTTATATAGGTGCACGGCCGTGGGGTGATGATGGTGCTATAGCGTGGCCATCTTAGGCTTCCAACATTTGCCTCAATTTGGGATCATTAGTTGGTGACTAATCAATCTCTAATTATGCCACGTTTTATGCTCAATTTGTGGGGGAAAATAGATGACCGTACGGTGAAGAAAGGCTACGGTTTTCTTGAGTGAAAATGAGAAAAATATC